TCACTCTGCAAGTCTGATTCATATCCAATATGTATTTGTACATTAGGTTTGTACATTTCAAACATTCAGACATTTTCAGACAAGAACACAGTAGAGAGATCACAAACATTGGAATTTATCTTAAAATAATTTAGAAATGTCAGTGTTGAGCAATAGATGTGCTCTCGTGTGCAAAGAAGTAAAAATGCATAGTCCAACGCAAGATTCTCCAGTTCCTGAACTGTTATCTCCAAGAGAGTAAACCTCTAGAGTACATCTCCACATGACACATTTATCTAAAGTGGCTGCACACATATAATGATGGCTTTTGTTTAGCAATCATGGTCATTTTGAGTTTGTTTAAATACTGCAGCCGAATGCTTATAAACTAATCCCAGAACATTTTGAAATGCTTCAAAGCTTTTAGCAGGGGAACCTCTTGCATAGGCTTTGTAGATGAAGCTGACCACAGTTCACTGGAACCAGCCAGCTCAGATAAGTAAGATGAAAGCAGACATTTCCTGAAAATATCTTGAAAGCTTTCCATTAGACTGTACCAGGGGTATACACTAAAAACAGCAAGTGCCCATGCTTATATAGCAACCAATCTTCGCACTGCTTTCTCCATTCTTACTCAAACTACTGTATTTGTACCTATTTATCTGCTTCATTTGGTATCTTGCAAAGTTCTTCAGGGGAAAAAAGATGCAACTTCTGTATTCTAGTTTACTGTACATTATAAAGCAGCTATTACTGTAACAAAAAATTCTGCTTAACATACGAAACATTGCAACATGAAGACACAGAAATCTACTACTGCCAAAATTACTACAAATGACAAGTAAATAAGAAATTTGATCTACAGATCATTTTAAAGAGTCACCCACTCCATGACAGGCATGAATGCAATTATTTGACGGTAATTGTCTGGCTGTCAAAGTGTACTCCAAGAAGGCTGATACAGCATTGATGAACATGCTGATCGTAAAGATAGGAGTGCCTCAGGCTAGATTTTCAATAAAGGCTGAGACTGGCTGTCCATATTTTATATGATAATTTGACTGAATAAATCCAGCTGCTAACTAGGAACAGGAAATGCTCCATTTTTGCGATCTCCAACATTTTATACTTCAAGAAAGATAGTCACACTGTTCAATTTCAGGCACTTTTTTTCAGAGCAATGAATTAGAAGCCAAGGTTTCTTTAACAGTATACTGAAGTCTTGTACTTCCAATAGCTTCTTGAGGACCAGCAGACTATAAAGGGAGCCTAGGTCTAACTTAAGCACTAAAATTAGGTGTTATGACTATCCAACGTGCTGTATCCTGCAAAGAGTTAATATGCACACTCCAGTGAAGAGAAGATAGCATTATCATAACATAATACAAAGTATTAAGCAGTGATGAGACTTGAATTCAATACAGCAGTGATAGTAACAGTTATTCTGCCCAGCAGTGTACCACAAAAAGGGTCAGGGCACTCTGAAAGCACACTGTGAAGTTACATACGGTGTTTGAGTCCTCAGCACATGCTAGCCATATACAAGAAGGAAGTGGTGAGCCACAGTATCAATGCACAAAATGGGCTGCAAGCAAAGTCCAACAGTTGCTACTTTAAACAAACCAACCCTGCCCCCTTCCAAACAACAACAAAAAAATACTTGAGGTCTTAGTAGTTTCTTTTGAGGTACATCCTGAAATCCCATGCTCACTCTGCCTTCTGTAGTCTCTGTTCTTACACCTCCTGCGCCCCAAGGTACCTGTAATACGGTCTCTCATCTTCTCAGACAGAAGAAGTACTAACCTCTTCCAGGGTGCAGCTTATGCGACTTCACTGTTTAGTGTTAGGAGTAAAATGGGCATCCTGTGTCTGGGACCAGGTCAAGATCTGTGAATACATATTCTGAAAATGTTCTCCTCTTTGAGTGACAGAAGCTATAAAGAGCCACTCTGACTCAAGCCCCATACAATTCTGCGATCTAAATACATTACATGTGCTGCAACATGCATCATCTCTCAGTATAGCTAAGGGGAAGCCCAAGAAGACTTAATAGAGTGTTAATTCTTTTTATAAGCAATATTAGTAAGATATAACAGATTCCTTGGCAGACTGCAGGAGGTGAGAAAGGGCCACAATCTGAGGACCTGTTTGCAAAGTGTTGTCTAGGTCCTCAGTAGTCTTTTCCTGCACACTCTGGCTTCTGCTAAATATTCAAGTTTGATTTGAATACCCAAATAATTAAATGTTCTGTTTTAATCGTCTTGGAAATGATGCAACACTCATCATCTTCTTCGAGCAATCTTAATACTCATTCTACCCCATCCACATTCTTCTACATCATCTCCTAAGAGGCAGCTGAGAGAATTTGTTCAAAATCTCAAGATGGTGAGCTTGCAAGATCCTTACAATAAGCTGAAGTCAACAGGAGTTTTATTCACGATTTTACTACAGTAATAATAGAAATAAAATCTACTGTTTTAGGATCAAATATAGTTAATTTGTTTAGAGGTAGACTCTTCGAAAGCAAAAGTAAAAAGAGCCTTGGTTCTCTGCTGGTTCTACACTGATTGCTACCAAGACTACCTGCTACTTGTGTAATGTTTTAAAGCAACTGTAAAACAATCATTAGGTCTGTAAACATTTAGAGCTCATCATATGCAGAGAGACCAGCAACATATTTTAACTTCTGATCAAAAGAGTCACCATTTCCTTAAATGTTCAGAAACTACTTGAAAAATTCATAAGATCTGTTTCACAAATTACCAGTTCAACCATAAGAATATATGGTAAAAATGACAAAAGATTTGTTCTTATAGTTGATAAAAAATTTATGCCAAGGCATTCAAGTAAAGTTACTTTCTGTGTTCTGATTTAATGAATCATTTGAGCGGTATCTGGCTGGGTGACACAGATGTAAGGCTCGCTGAAGCCTACTCTAATGCCTGCTGGTATAGTCTTCCTTGGGACAGTAAAGCCAGAACAATGTGTCAGACTGAAGTAATATCAAGGAAAGTAAGTGCAGTACTGGGGATGCTATGAGGTTGGCCCACAACACTTCTTGACCTGTGAATGCCTGTAAGCACTTCTCTGTCCTACAGGCTCCAGTGACCCAGGAAGCCCAAAAGCAGCGGCAGCAGCACAGTAATAAACAGTCTCTGGAATAAGATTTTTGCAATCTTGTAATTCAAGCTGAAAGACATACAAAGATTGCTTGATGGTTTAACCCTACTGGAAGGCAGGGTCTGACACCGTGTGAAACCACCAGTGATTTCTTAAAAGGTGAACTAATGTTAAATGTTTAATACGAATTTGTGAGAGAACTGTCTGTTTTACACACTGCAAAGTTTATCTCTTTAACTTCAGAAATGTACATGAATTTGGAAAATATAAATTAAGGAAGTTACTTGATGCATATGACCACAGCTTTTATAGATCATGCCTCTGTGTAGAAGTTTACCAAAAGACACTATAATAAAATTAGACTTCCCATTAGGAAAACCCTTGGAAAGAATTTAATTCTACGGTAAGTAGAACAAAGCTAAGGAGGACTGTAGGCACTATAGTATCATAATCTTAGGCAATAAAGCTAATCCTCATAAAAATAAAATACTGGGTCCCAGTATTCCTTTCAGAAATTTGGAAGTTGACGAAAAAGCTTTCCCCTCTCAAAGAAGTTTGCTATAATATCCAAACAGACATATTTAGAAGCACACCATACCTTTATGGAAATAATTTGACTTTAATCATGAAAGTGAAATCTTTTAAGAAATTAGAAGTGAGAAATGAAAAGTGTAACAGTTATGCCAAATTCAAATAATATAATACACATCATTTTGTCCTACTGTCAGAGAGGGGAAGAATGCCTGTCAGCAGCAAATGGAAGAGTGTGAAGTATACTCCTCCTTCACCCCACCAGCCCTCTTAAAAAAACCTTAAAGCTTAACTTTTCTTTTTTTAACATAACATTCAGTTTTTCCATTGTTAACATGTTGTTGCAAGTGGGACAATCCTGTTTTGTCAAGAGAATTTAGTTCATTTGCATGAAATAATATTTCTGTTAATTTAAAGAAATCTTTCCCTCCTTTTATCTGAAAATTAAACATAGTCTCAATAGGCTAGTTAAGACAGTTGTGTATGAAAATATTTGGCATGAAAGGGTACTTACACAGATAACAAAACAATAGCAATTATAGTCCATTCAGGCATTTTGTGAATAATATTTCTGTTTGTTAACCTGAAAAATAATAATAATAAAAAAAAAATCAGAAAATTTCAGAGTGAAAGTGAACAGATTTTAACTGCTGAAATTTAAGTCTACCATTAAAAGACTTAATACACTGAGTTACAATGTAGCAATTACAGCTGTAGCTGAGCAATTCACCAACTTCCAGGCTCTCCCTCATCTTATCCTGTAATGGAGGAATTGCAGAATTCCCAGTAAGTCTCTTTTTTTCTATATGAAAGTGGGATGGGGAAGACTGAACAGAAATTAATTCTTTGAATTAGCTCACAAATAGTCCTGGCTGCTGTGAGGGCTCAGCTCTCACTCATAATCACTGGGAAATTCTCAGGAACTGCACATGCGTTTCTGCAGAGATGGGCCCTCTTACACTTAGCTTCCCCCCTGTTGGTTTCAGATCCCAATTTGCTGTAAAAGCTAATGTTGTGGAAACAGACTGGATTTTATGAGATACTGGAGAAAATCCTCTCATGATTCTTGTTTTTAAAATGGAAACTTGGAATTCTAACTTACGCAATGACAGCCACTGCAGATACAAGAGCAAGAAAATGAGGTGTGAATCAAGAACCACATGAGTGCTCAAGAAAAGTGCTGCTGCTTTTCATACCTGCTGACCCATTTGGCTGAACTTCATAATAAGACATATCTGTTTTAAGTCAAATGTTAATCTGACTTAAACCAATTCACGTGTGAATTCCTATGGCTGAATTTAGGCATGACCCATGGTGTTCAAGACAAGCAATTTCATGGAAAAGTCCCAGCTAAAAATGAAGCTGTGGCTATGCAGGCACTCAAAAAGGCTAGCAGAATTAATTTTATTCAGACAGATGGCACCATCCAACAGAAATACTGAGGGGCAAGTGCCTCCCTATGTTTGCTTCCTTCTTGGTCTCAGCTTCCCTTCTATGCAGCCTTGTATAAATTCAGATCCAGAAGGAAGCTACCCTGTCATTCATATCCACTTCTACAGGCACTGGTGAAGATGGGAGGTTGCTTAATATTAAATACCTGGCAACAAATTAAAATCCAGGGCTTTCTTCCCCAGTATTTTTTTAAATTTCTTTGGGCAAGTATACAGTTATCCAAAAAAAGTGTTAAAAAGGGGAAAAATAAAAGTACTTGTACGTGCCATTGTTAAAATTCAAATTCTGTTAACTAGTTCCCCAAAATTATATCCAAAATGGTCATTAAAAATGCAGTAATAATTAAGATGTTTTATAGGATCATTTTGCATTTCCCTATTTCAGAAAGATATTAAAAATTAGTAAAATTATTTTTTATTTAAGGATAGTAATGATCAAAGCATTATTATCCTATTTCTCTCCTCAAATCTCCAAGTTTTCCAACAAAATAAGCCTTTCAAGCAATGATTACTCACGTAGTGTCTCAACAGCCTGAGTTTTGTTACATAATGAAAGGAAAAGCAATGTTTTGTGCTATATGTACAAGAATTGTCATGTCAAACTAGAACCAGTAGTTCCAGCAAATACAGATTATTTTTGTCATTAAAAGATTCCTGTTTACCAATTACTGTTTGAAATAGCTACGGCATTAGCTGGCAACAAAGCTTGTACCTGGTAAACTGTTACATTTTTCTGGCTATAGAACAAGAGACAAAACAAAGGCTGAACGTCTTGACTCAATACTGATAACAGTGATAAACACTACCAAGAAATGCCTGATGGAATCATCTTGACAGGCAATTCATATGTAACATTCCAGTTAATCTGCTATGATGAGACACAATGGAAGAGACAGCTCCAAGCCACCTGGGAAAACTCTGTCAAATAGAGAAAGCAGCTTTATTTCAATGCTGTACAAGGAGTTATTATTGATTAGAGCACAGGAAGGTGTCATTCTTGTACACAAACTGAGAGATGCAGTTATTTGTGTCAATTAACTCTTATTCAATGTTAGTATTGATTGGCAAGGTCTGAACACTAGTCATTGCCATCAATATGCTATTTATGAAGGAAGTAGTCAAAAGACACAGATAACCAGCAGGATATGGCAATATGCATCTGCTGATGTACTGCTGTCACTGGACTGAATGAACAGTCAGGCTTCCAAACGAGTAACCTTTCAGTACACCACCTGTCCTAAAACACTTGTGCAGCTGAAAAAAACCATTTCAGGCAGATCAGACTAAAGCTAGCAACCTACAGGTGTGAAGCCTTAAATAATAAGGAGCAGTGGAAGGGCAGTCACTTTCAAATATAAGCTGTGTGTCAACACAAGGCCTCCAAAGAGCAAAGCTTTCAGAAAACAGAGAAGTACTAGTCCTCTGTAAAAATAGATTCATTAATTCTTTGCCTTGCCTCTAGCCAAAACTGTTATTTCAGAAGAATCCATGAAAGAAAGGTCACTAGATTTCTGTCATAAACATATAACATGGAAATGTTAAAACTGCACAAAACTTTGTGTACATTATTTGAGTTTTGCAGTGAAATATTTTCTGTTAAAGAGTTTGGCTAAATTCTCCCTCACCTACCCAAAGTTGGATGATCCCAAATAGCTGTGTTGGTCACTTAGTTCATAGTTTGTGGGTGTTGTGGTTCACCCCAGCAAGATGCACTGCAGCTGGACTTGACTGCTTCCACCACCCCGTAGGCAGCAGAACCCATGCAGCAGTTTTAATACTCTAGGAAGGAGCCCAGACTGAGCAAATAGATCCAAGTGGCAGAAGCTGACAGGATAAAGGACTAAAGAGTGAGATGCACAGGAATTCCATTACAAATGACCCCTCCAATAACTGACTAGTGCCCAGCCTTCAAAGAAAGTGAACTCCAATACGGAAGTTGTAGGAATACAGGGGAGTCCAAGGTTAAAGTAACTAGTAAGTAAAAAAAAAAAAAACAAAACTCAAAAATGATAGAGAAAGAACATACACAGTTGGTTGTAGTTCTTTTCCATTAGTTGTCTTCCCATTTAATTACTGCCAGCTGCAAATATTGCTAGCAGAACTCCATTAGCAAATGACAGCCTGATTTGTACACAGTGCCTGCTGTGGCAGCAGATTTAAGCACATCCCCAAGTACCCTGTGCAAGAACTTCGACAGACACCACAAACTTGAAGGCAGAGGAAATTCAGCAGTGCAGGAGCTCACTGCCCTTTCCTCACCAGGATTATGTTCCTTGGGACTTCTGGGAAGCAATTTGATAACAGGAACACTCTCCACAACAGGGAATGGCAGAAAGACACCAGGATTATTATGTTAAATAGTTATTCCCTAACAGGACCCTAGCATCAGGTATTATGAACAAGATGCAAGAAAATGTAACTGGCTAATATAAAAGGATCTTTTTAAAGTGTATTTTTCTTTATACCTATTTATGAATTATAGTCTTGAGTGTTACTTCCTTTTCCAGAAGTTTGCTTATCCTTACAATGAGAATATACCTGTCACCTATGAATCTATGAGCCCAGTTTTTAACATGCTGCTATGAAGTTGACTAATAGATAGTAGCAATGAGCTATTGGTACTAAATGTACATTGGTGAAAAAACATTCATCTGAACAGGTCCATGCTTGCTGTCTTTCAGTTTTACCCAGTATGTCTGTGTTCTATACACTGGGAGAAAAAGAAAAAAAATGTGCCCCAAACAGAAGATTTTCTTTCTGTCTTTCGTTTTACAATTTATCTTTGTTGCAAAGTGAAGTCATCAGCATCTTGGTAAATGAAGCAGCCTTTTTGTTCACACATCCAGATTCCCAGGTGTATGCATACATAACTTCAGTTCAAGAATCTGACCTGTTAGTTTGGCTATTTGCCTATTCTGTAAGGCAGCAAACTGACTTCATGGGATTAGGACATAAAGTTGTGACTTTAGGGGCCCTCAGTTGTCTAGAATTTTTCCAAAGCTTGCACCAAGATAAGTGAAGTTTAACTAACCCTGGTCAGCAGAGGCAAATACTAAAGCATAGACTGCTCTTCTTGAGGCTTCAACTAGACCAGATTAACCATAAAAGACAGCTCCTCTACACCTTGAAAAAGAGGAACATATTTACGTACTGTAGTATAATTTAGTTTGATGACAACCAGCAAAAATAAGCTAATGTTGTAACTCTAGACTCTCTTCAAAAGAAGCCCATTTACTTGCAAAAAGGCATTAACGTTCAGGTAATTTCACATTTCCATACAGAGCCTCATCTACAACAAAGTATTGCTGATTGACTTGAAACCCAGAACCTAAAATTCCACTTAACAAGAGGAATAGGTAAAAGCCTCTTAGTGAGTGTATACACTAGATAACGTACACTCATGATACATATTTAAAAGCTAAAACATTGTTATGGAAACAAGATAAGACAAAGCTGCAATAAAAAGTCTTGAATACATCTTTAGGAAACACCTGTATCATATCATCGACAGAGTTCAATGTCAGTGATAAGCTCCATAAAAGGAATTAAAATACTTGCAACCATAAGGTACAGAGGAAATTCTATTTCAATCTGAAACATTATGCTTAAAAAAACCCAAACAAACCACCACACTTTTACAAACATAATAATTTAGCCTTGATTTATATATAAATAGCTAATTTTCTCTTGATCTTTTAACAAAGTGCCCTTACATACTCTGGAGAATTATTTGACATCTCAGTTTTCGTAACAAAAGCTTACAGGCACTGAGGGACTTTGTTTGGGAAGAGCTCTAACCATTCTAAAATGTCTCTTGAGATCCCTCTAGTGCATTTCCCAGCAGTGGTGATTGAATAAAATGCTGCCCAAAGGAGGCTGAACTGCAAGTGTTCCTTTAAAAACCAATGGAGCTGAAAATCGTTGTTGCTTAGTTCACCACATGCTCTTTTACCCTTCTTCAGCTAAGCCGTACTTCAGCTATGTGTTTTATCTCCTATCCTCTTTGGCAAGTTCTTCCGCCTAAAATATTTCCAGTACAAAAAGTAAGAAAGAGCACTAGCATTTGTCAGTGCTCCCTAACCATAGTCATTAAGCATTTTAACTACATTAACAAAGAAAGTAACATTTAAATTTCTATACCCTGCAAACATAAATACCATTTAAAAATTATTGCAGGTCCCACTGCCAAAGCATTCAACCTAAAATCAGACAGACCATTCATATTAAGTAAATGTAAACCTATACAGAACCGCAGATTCAAACCTATGCCTTCATCTTAATATACATGAGCTAGCTTTTGTGTATCAACAAACCGTTCTGTATCAGAAACGCAAGGAGAAAGGGCCCAAAGGTTTTTATTGCTTCCCTATTTCCTGTATTTTTGTATTATTTTACTACCAGTGACAATAAAACTCCATTTATTTTGAGAGAGAGAAATATATAAAGGCACTTACAAATTCTTGTGTAGTGCCCACAATTGTCTTCAACCATGCCCCTGCCCAAAATGCTGAATTTCTAAGCAATTTATCTGTAATCTTCACAGTAAGACAGCCCCAAGAACTTGCTACCATTACTGTCAATTTACTTCCTAGCAAAAAAAGACTTAAAAATAAATTCAAGAACTGTTATCTGAAGGATCAGAAATAGGTATGGGGAGACTTTTAAAATATGATAAATTATTGCTACATGAGCCAGGTATTGCAATCAAAGTCCAAATTAATTACGTTTGGGTCCATTCTGTAAATCCACAGATGTGTATATATATGTTTTTAGAAGTCCATTTTGGCTTCAAGGTTCCTTTGCTATAAACCACTTTTAAAACTTCATATTCAGGCCACATTGTCTTTGAATGGCAAAAATTATTTAAAAGAGAAGTTCCGCTTTTGAGAACCTCCAGGACTTCTTATATAATCAATCATACAAAAGTAGACTGAACGAGACCAAGTGTTTTTGCAGTTCTACCGATCCATAAGCTAAAGTGACTGTTCAGCATTTAGGCTGCAGAGTAATAAAACTGTTTTAAGTTTGAAGACACGAAGATCTTATTCAAACAGTAGGTATATATAGGGTATATACATGCTGCTCCAATATAACCAAAAATATCTTCCCTGGTTTCAGTGTTGTTGTTAAAATAAAAGGTTAATCACAACTTAAAAGGCTGCAGTTACAGAATCAAGTTCAAACACTAACAATTCTTTTAAATAAAAGAGATCATGCACAGAGTCACCAGAAAGAAAAAGACTATCTTCCATAGTAAGAAATCCTGCATATAGAGATCTGTGTTTTAGTGGTGCCCTTCCAGATGTCAGGTAAATCATAAGGAATCAGGTAGAGCTGGGTTTCTATTCACAAAAGCCTGAGTTTTGGAAAATTTACATGTAAACCTCATGCAGGTTAGAAATGTTGGGGGGGGGTGTGTGGGGGGGGGGTGTGGATGACAACGTACAGAGTTAGCAACTGTTGTCGCTCCTTTTCCTGACAATACTTCAAGATGCAGGACATGATCTGGGTCCAAGTTATGAGAGTTGTGTCCCAAAGAAAACCTAAAAATGTTCAGAGAAGTTACCACCATTCTGTTTTCCCTCCTTCTTTATCCCAGTGTTCCAGTGTTTCCATATACTGTCTTTATAGTGCTTCTGACTGAAGCAGAAGCTTCATCTGTGGTGATAAAACTTCCACCAGATCTACTTCCCCTTGAAATCAAGAACAAGACAGGTCAAACTGGACCTTCTTCCTGGCTCTAGAAGTTTGTGGTAACAATTATTAATCACATTAAAACCATTTAGCCTGGCTGCAGAGAGCCAGAGCAAAAGAAAGCAACAGATCTCAGAAACTCACGCTTAATAGGAGGTGACGAGGTAGCAGAACCTTTAAAAGACTCACCATCATCCTCCAGAGACCACTGGCCTAGTTTTTAAAAATCTACAAATACTCCTGGTGACCTAGCCACTGTCAGGAGCAGGGAAAGGGCTGACTTGTTAGTCCACAGGGAATGTGACATTACCTACATGAACACACAGCTAGAAAAGGGCAAATCTACAATGGGGCCCTCTCTATGCCCAAATCACAAATCATTCAACAGCATATTTAATTAATCAATCAAGAAGAATCTCTAAATAAAGACCAATACTCACTGGAAAGTTTTGACAAGATTTTTTAGCTCTGTGTAAACATCACCTGGAGTCATCTGAAGAGGACCCAAAACTGCAGGTAATCTAGAAGGCAAAAGACACCAGTCAATCTACATTTTCCTCTCTTTCTCATTTCTTCTCAAGTAGGACTTCCACCAAAGCTCATGGAAGTTAATAAAAAGAGATTGACTTCTGTGCAGCAAATCAGGCCCGTAGTTTACATTTCAGATTCCTCTGAGTGGTGTTTGTGCAACACCTTCGCTTTACAACAGGTTGTTTTTAAAAAGAAGTAGCTCTAGTTCAGTGTGAACATGAAGAAATTAAATATAGTTTTACATGCGTACTCTTATTAACTTCGCATTTCAGTTCTGACAAGACATTCTTACCAAAAAAATCAGTGTTAACATTATAAGGATTAGAATTCCAGGCCTCATAAATGTTTCAAATATTTATATTTACTTGGTTCAAAACTAACAATACAAAATGAAACCACATGTCTAAATGAGGCTTGCACAGAGAACGCATCTTCTAACCTCAGACTCACGTAGATGCAACAGATGTAAGCCTGATAGTTGGAATCCAGATGATAGCAGGGTAATCAGAAAATTTCAAAAGAAAGAAAAAGACAGATTGCCTCCCTACTTGAGTGTGCGTAAAAATTGACACAGCACACAACAAACCACACACACTGTTTAACTAGTTGTCAGTATCCCCAATTGCTGGAAATAACATGCATTGTTTTTCACATTTAGGATGAAACTTTTGCCTCTATTTCCTTGTTTAACAGTTAATATCCTCTTGCATTTGTGTATGCAGTTATTTACATTTATATGCACATATGCACATGGTGCATCAATATTGCTGGAAGAATCAAGATTTCTATTCTCCTTTACATCACTACATGTTTTACCAAAACTGAACACAGGACTCTTATGATGCTGGGCATATTCATGTTCCCACTGACTTCATCTGAACACACCAAGAAATCATTGCTTTATCACAACGAAAATAGTCTCTCTTGAGTGTGACAGGACTACTGCTCACCTCATGAAATTTAAAATGATCAATGAAAGAAGGGGATAGTCAAGAATAAAACCTTTGAAGAAACTAAGAAAAAAAACATTCTGACTTTCTCATCCTCTATTCATGGAGTATGAGACTTTTAAGTTTAACACAAATTTTGCTAGAAGCTGAAAATGACTGACAAGCTTGTGGAAATATTTGAAGGGGCAGAGAAACTGCTTTACCATACAGTAGTAGTCCTTGAAATCTGTATGACATTGACACTTACAAAAAGATCAGATAGCCACCTTTCTTGCAGCATAGTTTGATTCTGTATCTGTGGCCTGTCCACACTTGTTGGAGGCAGAGAGAAATAGAATGGAGTTTTTTTTGAGGAGGGAGTTTTGGTCGTGGGGTTTTTTTAGTTAAAGAAAAAAAGATACTGTAAAATCTAGTTTGGCTAGCCAACACAAAATATTACCATAGAAAAGCACAAAACCACCACAATCATGCCTTCAAACACTAATTTATCTGCGTTGCCTTGATGATGGGACTATTTTCAAGGTCCTCTCAATGTTGACAATTTAATAATTTTAACAGCTACAGCAGAGATGCCTTAATCTCTTTTCTGGGACTCCAAAGCCCTTTTACATATGTGAAAAAGGTCTGATGCTTGGAAAGCTTTAAGATTCAACTCTGAGGGCCTTTAATGGTTGTAGCTAGAGGCATGCTGATACCAGCCATCCAAACATGGACTAGAAACTCTTTCAGTAAGATCTTTGCTTAAACTATTGAGAGGTCTGAAAACACCACTTCCTTCTGTGTTGATTTGTTTAACAGTAACAGTATGCCTAATGTACAGGACAAGTATTTGCAGTCCTCCCAATCAACTCCAAGGTTTTCAGTTTAGACTTGAGCAGTTGGTACATACAGCTCTTGAAATATTTAATATTTTACATCCATCAGAATCTGCTTTTAGACAACTTACAAATAGTTTAGATTATTTCCAGATAACTGAGGGAAAGAAGGATGATTAAATAAAGAGCTTGCTGTGGACTTTTTTTTTTTTTGAAGCGCATATTCTCATTTTAAGGTCCATGTGTTACGCCACCACTTAGATCCAAGGACTACAGAAATTTTCATTGTAATGGCACAATTGCATTGGCTTCTGCCAACTACTAAAGAGTGGGAACATGCTGTCATGCCAGCCTGGAATGCCATCAACTACAAGCTCCAATGGTTGTAGGAAGGGACAGATTTCTTCTAGAGAACACCTTACTAGTGAGATTCTGACATCTACCTCAGCAGGCTGTGCAAACTGACATCTGCAACCGTTCTGCAGATGACTGTCTCAGAAATAAGTTCTTTAGGGCAATAGTGGGTTTATAATAATAAATAATCATGGCCAATAATGATGAATAAGGCCACCTAGAAAAAGCCAGAACGTCCTTGCACAGTGTGTTTGTTACTTAAAATGATGATGAATGAGCACCAACTTCAGCTTGACATTTACCAAAGTAAAGGATACTTACACTTTTCTCAGTTTTTCAAGGACGATTCGCTTTCTAATCTGCATTTGTGCATTTGAATCAACAAGTGGGAAGGTGAGCTCTTCCTGTTGATCATCCTGTATTGGACAAAAAAACTTTAACAGCTATAACCTAGTATTTAATTAAAGTCAACACATCAAAATAGTCACAGCTTATCAATAAATGTTTAAACATAAGAAAACTCTTATCTCTGAATAAGAAAAATCCAAACCAACCAGTGATTTCTTAATGGACAGAAGCCTGCTTTATCTGACCCAACATACAGTGTGCAGCTAACCTGCTTTCCCCCTTCCCTGTGCTAGATACTTATCCATGTACGATGACAGAAACAAAGAGCTTGTAATAGCTCTTTGAAAGCAGGCGTTACACAGCCTCGTGACTATTCCACCAGACACTTACTTTGCTTGGATGTTCCTCTGCTTGTGTCACTGCCTCTTCAGCCAAGATGCACCTTCCTTTGTAGAACTCTTTTACTCGGAGTTCTAGGAACTCCGTTTCTTCTTTTAACTTTTTGTAACTAGGCACAGGCTTAACTATTCCACTCGGGCCTGTGAAAGGTAAGGAATAGTTCAAACTGTTTTCAGATTTCCCTATAGCAACAGTGTTAAGATCATCAGCTGTATCTAAGTCATCCTCATCAAGTTCTTCATTCTCCTGGTTGGCAGATGATATGCACTCTGATGAACATAAAGAAGTATAGTTTGGGCCATAAAGAAATTTCAAAGTTTCCTGAGTTCTCCATTCCGTAAGTGTCTGCTTAAGCACTTCTAATAAACTGCCTTTGGAATTAACTGGATGCCTCAGTTCAGGATTTTCATGTTCTTTTGAGTTAGCTAGTGTTCTTTTAAGATGTTCTGCGCCTCTTTTGCTCACACCTAGAAAAACTATCTGTGAACCACAGGTACTTTCATAGTTTTCTGAAGCACTTGATTTCCCTAGAGTAGTATTTTTCGAAGGCGTTGCAGTTATTTTATTATGAACAGAGCAAGCATGCATTTCTTCCTGAGCATCTAATTTACAATTAGATAGTCGTTCAGTGGCTTCTGTCACATCTGAGTCTTCAGTTTTAGAGCTGGAACAGACTTTCTGAGCGTGCTTCTTTTTGAGGATGCTGTTTCTGTGCAATTGCTGTGCAAAATTGACTGAACGTGACTGACTTCCTGGTAGGACAGAAGAAACAAATTCTTGTTCAGTATCACTACTGCTGTCACTGACTGTGTCACAAGAATGAGATTCATATGGACTTGAAGATATCCCAGGATTTTCAATGTCAGAGGCTTTAATTATTTCATCACGTAGTTGCACCTCTTCTCCAGACTGTCCACTGTAACAGAAAACAGAAGCCATCAATGAAGTAAGAAATAGGTGTTACCTGTAATAGCTTTTCATTGCCTTACATTTCATTCATGTAAGAAAGATAAATGAAGTATTTTTCCCTTATAGTAGAACTGTACTATTTTGCTTTAAGAAATCACAGCTGCTTTTCTAAAAGTCTTCTTGAACTCAAAGAGTTTTAATGTTCTGCAATCAAAATGAAAATTATCAACACTATTTAGAGAAGTGAGTTCTCAGTTGCTTATTGGCAGTTAGAAAAGAATAGTAAACAAAATGTTATTAAAGACAACAGAATAATGTCAGACTTAGCATGATGAATAGTGCAATTTTAAAACGAAGATAGGCATCTTAACATATATAGGTATACAGTACCCTAAAATAAGGAGGACAGCAGAGCTGGTTTTAGCATATGTAAGTTTGCCACCTAATGGCCATGTGTTGAAAAAGAAAACAAACAAAAAGTCACAATACACAGCAAGGTACAGAGAGATGACAGATTAGAATGATTTAATTTTAGCTGATATAAATATTTTAAGATTAAGAAGTACAGAAGCTTTCATCACATATAATTGGTACCTTTTTTTTATAAGGAATAGATGGTATAAAATATGCAAAGTACAAACAGTGTATTTGTTTCAGGTTTCAACAGGCTCAGTTAACACATACAGGGCAAGAGCAGCTGTACACTAAATCATACAGATCAAATATGCTGTTTTAGAATCACAAATGAAAAAACTAAACAAGACCAATAGTCCTTTGTGTGGGTTCTAATAAGGTCTTTTCTATAACACAGGAAATCAAAGATTCCCCTTTCACCTCATAGGATGCTAATATTTCTAACTATAAGTGCATATAACAAAAAAAAAAAAAATAATTGTTCAGTGTACCTCTGTCCCTCCTTCAGCAGCTCTATGTCTGGTGGTCTGCAAAAAGAAGACAAAGAATGAAGATCTGCTAAATCAATGCTCTTTAAATACACATTAATACATAAAATACATAGTTGAGGTTAGAAAGCATATCTGAGGATCTTCTAGTCCAACACCCTGTGTTCAAAGCAGGATTTGCGATAACAGGTTTATACCTACATGTTCACAGAGCACGACTAGCATGCCTGCAGCACAATGCTGTTATGTTGAACAACATTTAACAGAATCAGCAAGTCACACAACTGTTAGTCAGACAGGACCTCTGAAGTCTCTAGTCTGACCTTCTGCTTGCAATGCAATTGTCACCAGCACTAGATTAGGTCAGCCACAAATTCATGAAGTTCAAATCTTGAAAACCTCCAAAGATAGAGATTTCAAAATGTTGCTGAGTATCCTGTTTCATTCCATCATAACCTTACTGCAGTTTTTTTTCCCAATGTCCAACCTGAGCCATCCATGTGATAATCTGTGGCCATCATCCCTTGTTAAGTTTTCTGCCATCAACCACGAATAATTTGGCTCTGTAATCTTTGTAACTTTTTTCCAACTAGTTGTAGACTGCTTTCAGATCACCTTTGGTCTCCTCTTCAACAAAGTAAACACGCCAAGATCCTCATAGGTCACAAAGTCCCTATAGTAAAAAAAATCCTGGGCCATTTATAGCAAAATGCTCCAAATTAATGCAAAAAATATAAATATTCAGAATATCTTACTTATTTAAAATTATACTTTGTTAAAAATTAGGCTATCAAGTCATACTGTTTTAAGAAAATGGAGTTCAAAGGTTTCCAGAAACTCTGAGAAATATTACTAAACAAATTCTGATGAGTTTCTTTCCAAAGCTCTACTTGCAATTAATCTGCTTTAATTCAGTTATGAGGCAGCATCACAATGCTATTCATTTTATCCAACACTAAATGTTGAAATCCTCACCCACCTGTCCTAAGAATGAAAGAAAACATTTTAAGCATGCACTAAATGCCAGTCAATACACTAACCCCTCTCAGACAGTATATAAAAACCCCACAGGTTTAAAAAGATGAAAGCTGCACCACTCATACGACTGAATTGAGTCTGGAAACTAAAGGTGATAACATACAATGATTTAAATTATTAACTCCACATAACTCGTCTTCAGAGTTTTAAGCTGAGGTTGTAGTTTCTCTGTCAAAAGAATTTCAGATATCCTAATGTGTAAACATGTATCAGTGTGTGCACATGTATGCAGTTGTGAAAACAGACACACCTAGCCATGAACTACCTGGGGTTTTGTTTGTTTGTTTTTTGAAAATACTGCCTCCCCGTCACCTCACAGCATAAACAATTAACTATGTCAGGCACATCAGAACTACACACTTTGGACATTAAGAATAAAGGGAAATTTTAGAAATACTTTCTTTAAAGACAGCAAAACAATAGCATAAAACCACTGGTAAACTTCTTTAAACATCTAATGAAGAGACCAGTTTTACCTACTAGAATCCCTGAGATCAGATCAGGCTGCTCTAAACGCCTTCTCTCATTGATCAGATATTTCGTGTGACTGATCTGAACCGTGAAAATGAGCTCACATATATAATTTCAGCTAGTTTCTTTTGTTGAAAACCAGAAGACTATGAAAAGTAGGGTCTTGGAGAACAAAAACTGAATAAATTCAGCTGAACAGCCTCTACGCAAGTATTTATTGTTAAACAGTGACACCCATTGGCTCAATTCATTATTTGCAAGCCTATGCTTCCTAAGCTAAGCACATGGACTGCATCAGTGTTCCAAAACGAGTGCTACAGTAATAACAGGAAATGGGCAATCTGAAATTTAGACAGGATAAAGAGCCTCTTCGTGCTATAGTCTGCTTTCAGTTGCAAGCATTTGTAGTCTAACCTTAAGACCAATGCCAAGTGCTGTGCTAAAATTAGAAAATCTCTTGTAACAGGGTAAGATTAATTCACCCTGTACATTACAAGCTTTGTAAAAATGCAATCCTAGTAAGTTTTAAAGTTAATAGGAGTTGACTATTATTTATGATTAGTCTGCCCGCTAAACTAACATGGTCATGTCTACTAGGTAGTCACAAGTAGTACTGAGTCGTGCCAATTACTGTAATTAATATGGCAACCACACTTGTAAGACGAACACTATGCTAAGCTAACATGTTAACATCAATTACCTCTCTTCAGCCGAATCATTTTGATGCACTGCAGCTAATTAATTAGCATTGCAGCTTTGATAGAGAAAATAATATTCTCAAAAGGAGCAATGAATGTATAAGATTATACTTACTTTTCTTCTTCTCGCATCCATACTGGACTTTTGGAAATTTGACCTTCAAAATATTTAGATGCTCTATAGCAAAAGTTGCTGCAAAAGCACTGGAAACAAGAGAGAAAGCAAGAAAATACGACTAAAGACAACTTTAATACTCATAGAAAGGTACAAAAGTCATTGGTTTTTATGTGTGTAAAATGAAGTACGAATTCACATTTCTTTTTAAGCCTATGACCAAGTTTTTAATTCACCTGAGAAACCAAACCTATCAAATAAATCTATCCCATTCCCCACAAGCCACTTTAGGCTGCTTCTTTTTCCCCCACTTTTCTGCTTTCCTATTACACACTGAGAAGCAAACCAGTGTTGGATTCTACATAACAATAATTTTTTAAAAACTCAGAACTGTTCAAAGAGCAATCCCTAACCCAACAAGACGGTCATACAGTTTAAAAGACATGCAATAAAATTCAGGTGTTAGTAATGAAAATTTTGGTTAGCAACAGAACCTGGATATTTTGCAATACTCAGAAGGACACCTAAAATTTGGCAGCAGCTATGAAAAATTAACGTGCACACTCGCATCAGGCAACAAGACAAAACATCCCACTTCTCAGAGTCTTGCCTGGTACCTTGAGAAAGTAATTCCCAGAATTTTGTGTATTCCAGGGTTGTAACCAGAGGAAAGGAAGGTATACTAGTGACATTGAAGAAATTTGTTCTGGAACTAGAAATGCTGATCCTACTATGTAGTGTCTAAGCACCTGCAGTTGATTGTGTATCCTGTGAGCAGGCAAAGATGACTTTTATGCAACCACACACATGAATACACTTCCAGAAACAAACAGCTTTGTGAAGAGAAAGGTTTTACGTTGAAAAGTCCTCAAAAAAAGAACCCTAAAGGTAGTCACACTAAGGAATGCATAAGATGTAACTTGTAGTAGGCCACTGCAAACTTCAGTGAATGAAAAGGATGTGCACTTTGACCCTACTAAAGCTCACTGACTATACTGGAGCAAAACAGAGAACACTTCTTCACAAATGTCTTTTAACAGATCAGCTGTACCACATTCAAACTGCCATCCAAATAAAACTTTCCATGTTATGTTTAAATTTAGAAAAGAAAATAAGTGGGTTTTTGTCTTTCCAAAGAGAGCATCTAGAAACTGAAATGCACGAAAAACTTCATATTCTAACAGTTCCTGAAAATTATTTTCATAAAAACCAACATATTGGCTCTGAATCAAGCCACTATGTGAATGCTGTGACAGAATTCATTTCTGATATTGAGACAATATTAAATACATTTTAGATGTAGACTTGTTACCATACCTTTCTTTCAGTGATATCATAAACTCTGTTCGTTTTTGTTGAAATTCTGTACTTCTGTTTTGGCACCTAAAATAACATGCTTACATCAGCAAGACTGTTACTTCCATCATGACTTTACAGAAAACTTCAATCTTAGTTCACATATTTTAGTATGTGTAATATGTTCTAACTGAATTGCACATTACAATGATGTTTTCTCTCAATTCTTTTGATACTGTATCTTCTCAGACGTAAAAGCAGCAATTTATTTTTGAACATTTATATCTCACTATCAGTAGAAGACAACTTCAGATCTACAAGAAAGCCAGTGCTGAACCTAAAACAATGGAGCTGCCATGCTGGAAACTTTACTCATGTATAAGTGTTGGGCAATTACAGACAGGTCCTTCTTTAATCCATATCTACTTATATGCATGTGAGACCGTACTGTCAGAGTCCCCCACCACTACCCAGACAAACCCAGAGAGGAACTTACATAAAATATAATACAGTTTCCAAGTGAACTTCTGTGGGGACATATGAAGTCCAAAACAGTAAGATTTTTTGTCCTTGAGTAGATTTTTTTTTTCAGATACTCAGTTGTACCACAACTGGTATTACATCACAGGTTATCTAACTGAACTCTGAGTTCAGCTTAAGCTCTGACATATCATACCTAAATAAGTGTGCCTAAGACTTTGACACAGGTAACATACATTTTTAGAGCAGATGTATATGCATTCACGTAGTAATATCCCTACATTGTACCATTTTTTTCCTCAATCCTTCCCACAGAGATATGTGGTTACACTGAAGAAGGAACAAGATTAGAAAGTTTCTGCATGCACAAAGGAAGGCCATGAAGCCATACCTAATTCATCTCTATTAATGTCAAAGTAGATGCTAATTGATTCTGTCATACAGTAATGGTTGTCAACTGATCAAATTTTACCTTTTACTGCAGAAGGATTATACTGAAATGGAATGATATGACAACTGGCCCATTACTTGCCAGTATTTTAATCTATGTTTAATATTGTAAGTTTAAAATTAAAAGGAAAATGCAAGAGAATAAAAATTGTGAAGAGATTCTTATATAATAGTATTAATAAAACACAACTTACATTTTCCAGTTTATTTTGACACAGAGGATAACCACATAGTTTGATGATAGACCGTTCATCAACAATGTCTTTATAGTGAGATGGAGTAATAAATTTTCCCTAAAATGACAAGAGAATAGTCCAACAACAGATACTGAAAAATCTGTCATTTTTTGCACTCAAGGGATGTCATAAGCAAATAAATATTTTTAATAAGTTATCTAGTAAGTTTAATAAACAACATTTAGAACCTACACAGTAAAAATGGTAAAAGGGTAAATAGGGAAAGCAGACAGACATAGGTACTTCTTTTTACATATACAAGAGCTTCATAATTTTGCCTCTAGCATGGCACCTATTTTCTTAATTTTCCTCTACTTATATGTTTTGCACACTTATTTATCAGCCAATTTACAACAGTAACAGGAGTAATCATCATACTGTTCCAGCAAACCCGTGCTGCCAGATAAACTGTGGTGCATTATAGAGACTTTGTCTGAAGTCACAGATGACATGATGTAGACCTAAATTTTTATACTTCATATATCAGTCCAGAACCACAGAAGCATAAACAAAGGCTGTGGTAATAACAGTCCTGCAAAACTAGGGCATGTTTTCACTGCAGAACCCTTGAAAATAAGGCAATCATAATCAGAGCTAACAACAGAGGGAATAATAAATGGTTTGTCTACTTTGCTGCAAATTGTTCCAAGAACTTAAAAAACCAAAACGCTGAACACTAAGACACAAAACAGTATAAAAAGTTGCAACACGTACAGAATTCAGAAAGAACTCTTCAGTAACATTCTCTTCCAGGAGCTGTTCAACAATATATAATGCTTTTTTCTCAAATTCAATCTTCTTTCTCACAGCAGCCTCCCAAGCTGCTTTCCTGTAACAGAAGACATACTGAATGACACAGAGGGCTGATTTCCAGAAACAATTCTCCAGTCCTATCTTTATCTTTCTTTCTGAAATACAGTAGCTTTTTTCTGCAGCTGGCCAAACAAAGCAACAAGTAACTGGACTAGTAATTTTGTAATAACCACAAAAGAGTTTCCAATCTTAGTTTGCTTTATTTCCACCCCCCTCAGGGAAAGTATTGATTCTCACTGCATTACAACAATTCCATACAAGGTTACCCAACTCTTCTTGCAAGAGAGGGAAACCCAAAACTGCCTGGAAAAAGCCTGGGACAAACAATTTATGGAGTGTTGCCAGGAGAACGGGAGCTGGATGAGACATGAAGAGCAGAAAGAAAGCAGGATTGGGACAAGACTGAGTGCAAAAGTACAAAGTAAAGGAAGGAATAAATCCCACTACGGTAGATTTCCTGAGTGTTCCCGAGTCTTGCCACTATTCTATTGTCAGCAAATACCCCAAGATATGGTGACACGATCTAGGTGTCTCTGACCTCCATTTGGCAGCGCTTCCCACAGAAGTTGTTAAAGTAGTGTCATTCTGCTGTCTTAACCAATCGAGGTCTACACTATTCACCTGGAAGCATAGCTCTACTACAGAATCAAATGAATATTCAAGGTAATTGTCCATGGCAGAAAGTGTTTTTTCCTCTCAAGTTTGTTTTTTAAAGTGAATAAAGAAAAATGGCAGGTACGCAAAGAAACTAAGATGGCAAAAAGCTAGCACTAGAGAGTAAGGAAATGCGACTGTGGAGCTTAGATTCATAAACTTTTAGCATATTATACAATGCACAGACATGCATGCTGTTAGAAGTTACACAGCATCACTCCAAACAGGCCTGCACAATGTTGATGCTGGCGATTTCCTGAAATTAGTCATGGTACTCTGAGAAAGTGAAAAAAGACGCAAGGCAGAGAATGCCATTTCAAAGCAAGGCAAAACAACACGAATGCCACATATTGTTAGTTAGAAATTATACCTCTGAGCAGCATCTTCATTCTTCAGAGCAGCTGAATGCTTATTTCCTAGAAATCAAATATACAAACGTAGAAATATAGAAATTAGAGTACTTTCTTCCTTTAACAGTGGAAAATATTGGAACCTGAAAAATATTAAAACCTCTAAACATAATAAAAAAATTCGCTTAGAAACTTGCTTTTGGTGGCTGAGGGTGACTTCAATAAGCTAGTAGCCACTCAGCAATTAGACAGACGTGCTTTTTATAAGTGTCAGCACAGACAGGCCCAAGTCTCTCATTACCCTCATTCATCATGTTTTGTATAGTCACCAAGCTAAAGGAAAAATAATTCTGACAGTAATTTTGCACCAACCACACTCACTCTGGTTCTCCACCGTCACTCCAGCCCGGCTTTACCCCTGCACCCCACTGCTGGCAAACGCTGTCCTTTCCAACTGCCCCGCTACTGGATTTTGCTCCGGGCAGGACTCGACAAGGCGGCCTGGACGCC